TCATCTTTTCTGACAATGTGAACACATTTCAGTGAGCTTCAAAATATCTGAAAAAAAAGTGTGAACGGCGTTATGCGGAGAAGAGGTACGAAACTACCTCGCCGATCATCAGATCAAGTGGAAGTTTATCATCGAGAAAGTCCCCCATGTAGGGTGGGTTCCGGGAGAGACTGCTCCAATCGGTGAATTAATCGCTGAAGGAAATTCTGGGACACCACTACTGTAACGTCAAAAAGTTGACAACAATATTACCTGGAACCAACACTGTCATTAACTCCATGCCTTCGACTTATGACTATCGCGATGCCATCGAAAAGTAACCACTCCCTTCCTTTCATTTTCTAGCGGACCGCGTCTAACATCTCTTCCATCAAGCTCCAGCTCGGAGCCTGTGCCTCCCTCACAAGGTAAACTTAACCGTCATTGGCGTTACCTTCAAAGGATGGCAGATGAATTTTGGCGTAGGCGGATGAAGGAATATTTGGCCAGCCTACGATCTGTCCACTTTACTGGAGCGGATAGAGAGAGAAATCCCTCGCTTTGCTCCCCAGGATGGGCATCGCGTGGTAACAACGTCATGCTTTTACGCGAAACCGCGCTGACGTAAGCATCCCAAGGGGATGGGGGAGCTTTTGCTTGGGCTGCCCAAACGCTCCCCTCCTTGGCGTGGGACCTCTTCGCAGTTGGAGGTATTTTGTTTGAATGTCTGGTAACTTCACATATTTCGCTCAGCGAGATGCCGGCGGCAGCACCGGGATCGCCTAACTTGTTGTGGCTTGCGTTGTTACGGATGTCGTCCGACATCTTCGATATTCATAAATGCTGTCCTCAAGCAGCTCCTTATACAATTGGTATTTGATATTACGTCCCTTGTGTTGCATCCACCCATTCAAGAAGCACCTTTCTTTTAGCAGGAAGCAGTTCATCGTCACCTGCATCTAACAGCCCTGCTCCCATAATCACGTACCTCCATTTCATGTAGTCCTCCATTTTTGTACTCTCGTCAGCGCGCACTGTGCCCTGTTGCCGAGTGTGCGACCGCTGAATGCGTCTGATAACACTGACATTCTTGTCGGCTCACGTCGTTCATGTGAATGCTGGAGTCGGGGAGGAGGTCCCTCTGGTTCCACCAATCACTGACGTCACGCACATCCCCTTCGAAAAGCATCCCCCCTGTGAATACCCCTTTAAGCTCCTTGAGCCTTCAGGCTAATAATGTGTTTACACATAAAACATTCTAAAAAAATTTGGTTGTTTGTGTGGTTATTCAGCCTTGAACTTAGTCTTCTTGAACGGGCGACTTGTCTCCCTGCTGTAGATGAGCAATTTAACCAGTGTAGTACAACCGCTAGACTGGGGTCTTTAAAGTATAAAATATTCTAATGACCAGCTATGTAGTATTTTTAAAATTTGATGTGTAATCTCAAGTGTGTTTTTGTTGTGAAATGGCTGTGATAGCACATTACAGATTTGAGTTTTTTGTTAATTTCTAATCACCCATTATGAACGCATCAAAAGCGAACGAGAATTGCAATATTCGTTTTCATAAGGGTATGGGAGCCATTGACCCGTCATAAAAACAAATTAGCGATAAATAAATAAATAAAAATAAGAACTTGCCGAACCTGTGCTTAGGAAATAGCTTCGGTGTCAAATCAGTTCGACAGAGCCGAATGCCAAAAGTCGTTCCTTTTTTCTTGTCACAATTAAAGTGACGTGGTTATATCGCTAACGGCAATTGCCGACAGTTGCAGCCAGATGTTGACGTAACGAGATGCCTTCGCGATCGGATAAATAGTTCACGAATTTCTATACATATTTTTCATAAACTTTTGACAGGGTATCTAGCTCAACGAAAGCCAAGTAGCTAGTATTACGTTGCCAGTACTTAGAAGTACACTAAATGTACTAACGACTACCCTTGCAGACTACTTAAAAAAGTGGGCTTATAATGACTTACCGATGTTTATTATAAGTATATGCTAGTAGTATGATTTTAGTACGGTTACCGTATAGTTTGAATAATAACAATAATAATAATAATAGTTTATTCACAGACCCGCGGAAAAGCCCCTCCGTGCTTGTCCGTGAGAACGGGCAGTCCACTAAAACAATAAGTAGTTTTACACGGGTACTCGGTTTTTACAATCCTACAAACATTTTCTTCAAATATCTATTCAATGTTGAAGCCCAAACGAAACAAAGCAAACAAACAAAACATATTCGTTTCAATTTAGAAATCACGTCTACAGTATTAAGGAAATAGCATGTGCCAAATACTTACAAGCAACAAACGAGCAGTCATGAGACCCAGAAACGACAAAAGCAAGCATAAGGTATCGCAAAGGAAAAATACACAATTAAAAAAAAACACATTTGGTCAAGGTAGAAGTCTACAAGTAATTACCCAAGTAGCACAGAATTTTCTAAAATCATCGGCCATGCCTCGGCCATTGCTAGGCCAACGATCAATTTGGTCGGCCACCGGCAAATCCTCGGTGGACAACCAAAAACCATGGTCGGCAAAAGCCAGGCCACCGATGCCTCGAATTCAGCTCGGCCATTGGCAAAGGGCAGTGCTCGGCAAACTCTCGGCCATCCAAGGTATTTTTTTACATGTTGGCCACCAAGGAAGGGCCTAGCCCGGCATTTGCCCAGTTGCCAAGGCCTTGTTTTCACCTCGGCCACAGGGCAAAAACACGAGGGCCGGCATTTGCCAGGCCACCGAGGTCTCGTTTTCACCTCGGCCATTGGGCAAAAAACAAGGACCGGCATTTGCTAGGCCACCGAGGCCTTGATTTCACCTCGGCCATTAAGCAAAGACCGAGGGCCGGCATTTGCTAGGCCACCGAGGCCTCGTTTTCACCTCGGCCATTGGGCAAAAAACAAGGACCGGCATTTGCTAGGCCACCGAGGCCTTGATTTCACCTCGGCCATTAAGCAAAGACCGAGGGCCGGCATTTGCTAGGCCACCGAGGCCTCGTTTTCACCTCGGCCATTGAGCAAAGAACGAGGGCCGGCATCTGCTAGGCCACAAAGGTGTATCCAAGGGTCGTTTTCAGCCTGGCCATGGAGCAAATACCGACGCGGCATTAGCCTGGCCACAGATGTATAACCGAGGTCTCGTTTTCACCTCGGCCATTGGGCAAAACACAAGGGCCGGCATGTGCTAGGCCACCGAGGCCTTGATTTCACCTCGGCCATTAAGCAAAGACCGAGGGCCGGCATTTGCTAGGCCACCGAGGCCTTGATTTCATCTCGGCCATTGAGCAAAGAACGAGGGCCGGCATCTGCTAGGCCACAAAGGTATATCCGAGGGTCGTTTTCAGCCTGGCCATGGAGCAAATACCGACGCGGCATTAGACTGGCCACAGATGTATAACCGAGGTCTCGTTTTCACCTCGGCCATTGGGCAAAACACAAGGGCCGGCATTTGCTAGGCCACCGAGGCCTTGATTTCACCTCGGCCATTAAGCAAAGACCGAGGGCCGGCATTTGCTAGGCCACCGAGGCCTTGATTTCATCTCGGCTATTGAGCAAAGAACGAGGGCCGGCATCTGCTAGGCCACGAAGGTATATCCGAGGGTCGTTTTCAGCCTGGCCATGGAGCAAATACCGACGCGACATTAGCCTGGCTTTGTTTTCACCTCGGCCATCGAGCAAAGAACATAGTGACATTTGCCTGGCCACAAAGGCATAGCCGAAGGTCATTTTCACCTCAGCCATGGGGCAAATAATGCTAGCTGTGGCATTTTCATTGCCACTAAAGGTATAGCAGACGGCAGTTTTGTCCTCAATCTAAAGGCAAAATAACATGCGAGAACAGATGTTTGTGTTTGTAGGTTCATCATGTTGCAGGCAACAATACTCAAGCTCTAGGCATCACTGTAATGCACTCAAGGCACTGGGGTAGATCAGCTAGGAGGCATTTAGATTGAGGTCTTTGTGATCTGAACATCATATGACGCACCCAGTCTTATTGAACCTTCATGTTAATGCACCTGCTGCTTCGCTGTGCAAAAAGAAAAAAGATTGACAAAACCTACCTAGTTGCAATTGCTCATGATAATCAAACTCTAGGCTAAATTGCAGTTGCATTAGGTTTCCAACAACCACCTCCGAAGTCTGGCACAAATGATGTGCAATGTTTCTTGTCACCCCGTAAGAAACAAATTGGTGTCATTTACAGTGTATGTTATCTACTATAGTCGGTTACAAGTCAAGAAGGTAGGAGAAGCTCCTCCCATAAGTGTGATGCGCCCGTTTCAAATCTCTCCGCAGTCGAAAGAAGAGTTCACTGGAAACTCTCCTTGTTCCGCTTCAATGGATTCCCACTTGTCTCCGATCCCACTTTTTAAGAAAGCGACCTTTGTATTCATCGGAGAGGGAACCGAGCCCCTGAAAGCAGCCTTTGTATCCATCGGGGGGGAAGCTAATCCCCAAAAGTCGAATTTGTTTCCGTCGGTGGAGGAGAACTCTAATCTCCCTCTCGTGGCTTCCACAATGCTAAGTCAAAGTCAAAAGGTAAAGCAAATATGTATAGAAAGGCAAGACCCTCCTCGCGCGTTGGCCGCGACGTCACGGAAACGGTGGGACGCTATTGGATGCGGAGGTGGCGGAGGGATATCCGATTCCCTTTGAGGGGCATTTGCCGCTACCTTCTTAACCTGTAACTGACTATAGGCAAACATACAACAAAGAAACAGTTTACCGATTTCACAAGAATATAGTCTCCGAAGGATATATATATTGCCTAGTCCAAAAATTTCAAAGGTGTTGGTGGCCAGGCTGTTGGTTAACTGATCATGAATTCAATGGACACTGTAAGAAAGGGTCATCAGTTCGATTCACTGTCAGATTAAAAGTGCATGTCCCCAGGTTAGTCAATTTATACCAGCAAAAGAAGACACCAATGTGTTGAAATTCGAAAGGTGTTTGTCCTGTCCGCCTTCCTTGTATAACTCTTTCATATTTTTGAATCAGGGCTGTATCCAACCTTTGGCAGGAAAAAATACATTTATTTGCCTTGAGGTCTAAAACTCTAATCCCCTTCAAACTACTCTCCTTGGGATAGCACACACTTCAATGTTTGAAAGGCTTAGCTGTTTATTCAGCCAGCTGTCCCGGTGCCCTGGGCCTCTTGTGCCGTAGTTCACATGGTTTCTGAATGAGCCAAAGTCCTATCTTCTTTGGTGACTTGGCTGCCTCCAGTTCCACATGGCCCAAGCCTCAGCGCAATGCCTGCAAAATGATATGAGAGCAATTCACTTATAGGATCAAGACAAACAAAATTTAATTTAGACTAATAGCTTCGTTTCATGTCACCATTTCGGAACAATGTTTCTACCAAACTAGACAAGCAGAAAACCGAAGAATTGCCACTCATATGGCTGCATGAAAAAGTATAATCTGCTTGTAACACTGGACTGTGCTTGCCAGAGGCGAGTTACAGCATAATGATGTGCTGTATTACCACTTTCATGTGATCGTTTAAAATCCTCTAAAACTGTAAAACTACGGCACCTGAAAAAAAGTATATGAAGTATACAACCAATACTATTTGCATTGACAGCTGCCACTATATACTGTTTTGTCTGAACTAAAAAAAGTACAGTGGACTCGCAATAAATCAAAGTCTGATATTTCGTACTGCCAGTTATTTCAAACAAATTTAAAAATTTAGTTTTTTTGCTAAATCTAAATGCATCAATAAGCTGTTTATTTCAAACAATGTTTTCGCTCCGTTCACACTATTTGTCCATTGCGGAGGGTTAGTCCCGTTGAGTGCGCTTCTCATCGAGCACCTGTGTACTCCGGAAAAGCAATACACGCAAAGCTCGTGGTCATTGCTTTGCCGCAGTATACGGGTGCTAGGTGAGAAGCATACTCGATGGGACTAACCCATCCCGATTATGCAAGGAGCACTGTCCTGACAATCTGCTTTATTTATTTGTGCTTCTTTGATTATTCTAAGGGGGATTAAATTCCAGATGAAAGAAAGAATATTTGCATATAGCAAGCAGATTTATAAATTCCTTCGATTAGGATAGCTGGGCGTTTCTTCAGGTTTAATTTTATGTGAAATCTGTCATTTACATGCCACCCCAATGTGGGCATTGGACTTACAGAGGCCACAGTTCATAGATGTAGTTATATTAAAACTAACTGAGCTTAGAAGTGGACAAGGGGAAGGTTGGGAACAACCTTCACAAGTTAAGCTGAATTGTTGTTTGAGCACGGCACAACAGTAGTAAAAGGCTTTGAGAAACTATTCTATATTTAATTAGAAAATATTCGGCCAATATTAATATTTGCTTTAAGCCTCACCAATGTTTTACGTGTGCCCTTTTTTAAATAGGCCTGTGCAGAGGATAGTATAAAAAACTGCTTGGTATATGTAGTTATTCCTATAGCGATTTCATACTTTGCCTCATATCACTTTTCCATAAATTTCCGATAATTCAAAACTTCTCACATTTCAAATTGAAGTCTGTGGCTTTCAGGAGTTTGAGTTACTGAGAGTCGAGTGTATTAGAAAATATTTCCGGTCCTCCAAAAACCAAGAACCTGAACATTGACTTCAAGCAACAGCTTTTCTAGCTGCCAAATAAATGACATGCCACACCAGAAGTGTAAAGCTTCTTTCAGTGGCACGAATAGCAACCTTACACAAAAGATGAGCACCAGTTCACTTATGCACAGGAGGCGGCTGTCGCCATGTAGGAAAGCAACACAACTCGCAAACGTCCATAACACAGAGGGACATGCCCACCCCAAACTCCAGGATAGCCTAGGTCTGCTGAAAAGCCTCGTCCATCTATCTTGGAGTCCCCAAGTAGCAGCAATCAAGAAGTCAACTTCCCCTCGAGGCAGACTGCCCTCAAGCCCCTCCCAGTGGCCTTCGTTATACCAGAAGCCCAAGACGGATTACGTTAGTGAAGAGTCCTCTCGCTCGTTGCCTAGGAAAAGGTGAGGAGGAGCATCACCACTGGGAAGGTGTAGGGACCATTAACGCAGCACATCTCTATCTTCTGTTTCGGTTCGATCACATTAGAAAGTTTTAGCGAGTCGTTTTTCAAGCATACGGTTCCAAAATCACAAATGGTATAGCTCGTCCGTTCCGTGAAACCGTACGTCAAATTTGACATACTTTAGCGAACCGTGAAAGTGGCGTGACCGAGTAAACAATAATGATGATCGTGCTTAACGGTGGCGCCATCTTCTAGTAAACATGTGAAGCATTCTGCAACGTGTAAATCAGTGGCGATGGAGGCGGACACCGTGGTGGCGGTTCGTGTTTCCGTCGTACGCCTGATGTAAACAAGACGGCCGACGTAACATTTTCAGGTCGGAATTTCAAGAACTGCGAAGCTAGATAGAGTAAAAAGTGTCTGAACGACCGCAAAGGTATATGGTGTGTCTCCGTCATCTTGAACTTGAACGATCGTTCAGGTTGTGTGCCGTTGAACCAAATCATTTCGTCTGCTCGCAGTCGCCACAGCAGCTCGTCTGCCCGCAGATCGCAAAAATTTACTAGCATGCGCAGTTTACAGCATTCACGATCGCTTACCATTGTGAGCAGTCCTCGAAATGATTTCGTTCAACCTCTCAAATGAAGCAGACTAACAGGACGGCAATTCGCCTCCCGCTGTCCTAAACCTAACGCTCGGCTGGGTCGGCGAAGGCGGTCGCCGAACTGACCGCCATCTTTTTCTTACCCGAGTCGTGAACGGTGCTGGCTAAGTTGCGGTGACGACTCCAGCAGCCGGAATGGGAGAAACGAACGAGAAGAGCCTCCCAACTCCCCAAACGACTCGCATGCGCATGCGCAGTGGCGTCGCGGATGCATTCGAGGGCGAACCGTTCGTGTGGAAACGACCTGCTAATACTCCCTATTTACACTGCTTTGGAAAACCATAAATGCCTGCAGAAGCAAGTCACTGGACCTTGGGGAAACAGCTGTGGACTGTTTTTCATTATTCCACACTGTTCATTGTTAGATTTGTTACACCACAGACTGCTATTTCAGCAGAAATGGCAGTTGGTGGCTGCACTGTCATTGCACAATTAATAAGAGTATGAGTCTCTGGCAATGAAGTTTCTTTGTAAAACTGTGGTGCACTAAATAATGTCGTGGTTCAAGAAAATGTACATGATGAAGATAAAAATTTAAATAACGCTTGAATATGACAGGTTTTAAAGCCACAAGCCACATGGTCTTGAGCAGAGGTTGGCGAGTCGTTTTGTCATAGGAGCACTTTCAAATAAAATATTGATAAACATCACTTCTCTCTACACAAAAGAGCAAACTGTCACTACATTCTGTGATTTTGGTTTGCCTCAACTTGCAATAATTTTGACATTGCCTTGAAGTTTCACTATAAAAAAAATTTCTTATGAGGAGTGTACCGAAGACTGGGGGCACAGCTAAATTCCAATGGACAGAAAGGATTCTTAACTAAGCGACACACAACAGAACATACAGAGGGAGACTTGAAGAAACCCTTTCCACGGGTACACTTCCACTTACAACCGTTTCTAACAGAAAATATTTTACTGGACCTTAGTGCCTTCTAGTGAACAGTACAGCTGGGCAATCGATAGAATAACCGACCAATTATTCAATTATTGCTTTAATCTGGATTATTTTGTTTATCCGGTTAATTGATAATACTTTGACGAAAAAGAAAAATTAAATGCTTTTACCATGCAGAAATCGCCCAGTACACCTACATGAAAGGCAAACTTTCGGTGAAAATTGAAGCTAAAATAAACTGTACGGCCAAGATTTGTAACTCCAGACAAGGTGCAGAGGGTTACATGAACACTGGCCATTTTAACATATTTTGAGTGTCTGTCAATCAAAGGAAGCCGCTCTTGCCGATGAATATCAACAAACCTCTTTGCCTCGTGCAACTGAAGTAATAATCTTCGGGTGTGCCCTTGAACGGTTCTCAACTATGTACCGAAGTTGATTCATAATCAATTTTGTATACCGTTTATAAACATTCAGCAAAGGCAAACAAGAATATATGCAATTTTCAGTATGCACAAAAAGGAATGAGAATCATTAGGCCATTAATAATCGGTTAAAGGGTGGCAAATATTGAGGTTTCATTATATAATCGATGCTCAGCCCTACTGTACAGTCATGGTTGACAGAGGCTGAAATTACTGACACCAGTGGCACTGCCCCGACAAGAAAACTTGAACTAGTGATGAAAGATAACGCGCAAAAGAGATTGCAGTGGCATGATACGTGACTCGGCCTGATCATGGTTGAGAACCGCACACCTTGCTGCAGATGTGCTGCTTCTGGGGTTGTTGATAGTTAGCATCATGTTTGCCTGCTGAGTCATTGGACAAAGTTATTTGGCTGGGACAAAGACCACCGGCACAGATAAAGGAGGCGCCAACAAGCACGGCTAGGCGATAGCAAAATGTAAAGGTGACTCAAATCGAGGTGCTCCTAAACAATGAGAAACAGGCAGAGTCGCATAGCAGTGGCCATGGCACTCTTGTCCTCATACTGCCTCTCATTAGTAGTTCAGTGTCTCTTGTAGAGGAACAGCAAGCAATGGATTTCGGCTGTTGCACTAACATTTCAGCTTGCACTGTCCACGACTCAGCACGACCCCCAAAATACTCAAGGACAGAGATACAAAGAAGCAACCTACTAACCTCTATGTAAATGTGATCAAAGAAACGAAGAATACCCTCGAGCTTATATCCTAGAGAATGGAAAAGCACCATATACAACATTAACTTCCTAAAAGAGAGGGACATCAAACCTGGTTCTAAGGAAAAAATATAGACTAAGGAAGTTCTTCCACTCACAGTCGAAACATAGGGAAAACTTATTCACCGCAATTACAAGCTTCAATTTTGTTACTGATTCTTTCAGCATCAACTTGTGGACATTCTCTTGGGTCAAAACTATTTCAGAGCAGATCCATGCCTCACAATTATAATTCTGCAAAAACAAAAAAACATGAATAAATGTAATAGTTGTGTGCCCTTATGGGATCCTACTGAAATAGTTTTGACTGAAGGGAATGGCTACAAGCATATACTAAAAGAATCAATAATATTAATAAAGCATAGATAGAAAAGTGTTTATTTATTTCAAATACCCTCAAAGTAAGTACATCGAAGAGGGGAGAAAGCTGTAAATTATTACTATAAAGTGCACATATTAATAACAGCATTTTTAAACAAAACAATATCAGTGATGTTAGCAATGGAGGCAGGAAGGTGGTTCTAGTCTATAGATGTTTGTAGCATAAAAGAATATTGAAATAAAGAAGGTGTACTAGTAACGGCAGACCTAAAGTATTTTTCCTGGTAGTAGCGCTGGCAGCGCTATTATAGTCTGTCAATATAAAACGAGCTGAGCGGTTTTGATTGGATTCAACATGAGCAATTAGTGACGAGTGAGTGGGGTCCCACACAGTGGCAGCATATTCTAATTTTGGATGGATTAGGGTTTTGTACATGTTTAGTTTTAACGAAGACGTAGCGAGAAAGAGATTTCTTTTTAAATGGAAGCTACGGAGGTTCTTGAAAAAATGAGCTAGAAGCGAATTATACTGTGTTCTTATCCCGTAAACCCGAATACCCAAGTCCTTTGCTGCGCAAGTATTGCTAAAGGGAAGATGGGGCACTTCTACATTTGAGAAAAAACGCTTAAATTGCGTTCATTTGTCCTTTAGAATAACAGATAGCAAAATTATATTTCAATGCGACGCGCCGGAGAGCCACAAGAGCAATTTCAAAATAGGGCTGAAGCCCCGCCCCCTTAGCCTTGGGCAGCCAAAAGAGCCGTCGATGACGTCACGGACAGCGACTGTCTTTCGCGTTTTTCTCGCGTTTAACAATACTTACGCAGCAAATGGTTTGGGTATTCGGGTTCACGGGGTAAAAATACACTAGGATTCACTTCTAACTCATTTTTTCCAAGAAGCTCCGTAGCTTCCCTTTAAAAACTAGAAAACACGAAAGACAGTCGCTGTACGTGACATCATCGACGGATCTTTTGACTGCACAAGGCTAGGGAGGTGGGGCTTCAGCCCTATTTTGAAATTGCTCTTCTGGCTCTCTGGTGCGTCGCACTGAGGCATAATTGTGATATCTGTCATTTTAAAGGCCAAATGAATGCAAATCAAGTGTTTTTTGCTCAAATACAAAACTGCCCCACCTTCCCTTTAAGTATGCTAAAATATGGTTAGCATTATTAATTATGTATTCAATATGAATCTTCCAAGAAAGGTTACAAGTTACATGAACACCAAGATACTATTTCTAAACAGACACAGAGGCGAGGGCATTACTGTTAACATGATAAGTCTAATCTCATCTAGTCTACTGCGCAAAGCACGATTTTCGTTTTGAATGCGCTGAACAGATTGGCTGGCACGAGCCAACTCGCGGTGTAATTCATTGATTGAAGACGACTTCAATTCAATCGCAGCAACCCTTCGACCGATATTTGTTACCGTGACTTGTAGCTGTTGTTGGTTTGTTCTTAGTTTGCTAATCGAGCTCACTATACTACTTTGCCCTTCCACAACACTCTGAGTTTGCGCATTTGTATCCTGCAACACCCGCATCATTTCAGCAAGCTGCTCAGATAGTTCAATATTAGTTGCTCCGGGGTTAGTCTCAACATCGCATCCAAGCAGCAGCAGCAACAACACACTAAATGATTTCACCAAAGCTTCTCGGCATAGAAGCACTATTATACAGACGTCTTTAGCAGTGATAAAAGTGCCATTTCACCTTTTGCAGCAGGTTATTTAGCAGTCAAAATATTGGTTTGGAGCAGCCATTGATGCTTTTGGAGCAGATGCCAACATCTGTTAGCACATGGCACTTGACAATGAAAAAGTGACTGCATCTCTAAATGAGTTTCTTTATGGTAATGATCAGAGTTTCCTCTTTGATACTCGAGCACATTACTTATTACCATTTGTGATAAGAATAGATAGAGCATAAAAGGAACACCGACTTCTTAAAAAAGGCTCTAGTCAGACTAGGTTTCATTTACGATGGGTATTAAAATATGGTTAAAAAGTTAATCATAGTCCGACACTTTGTCGCGATAACTCCTCTTTCGTATCTCCATTTTACACTCCGTAGTTGGTTTAGCCTGTAAATATAATTTCTGTAAAATGTCAGCAAGAACCAGATTATCCAGTAACACGTCCACCAATAAAAATGTTTCCCGTCAGTTTAATGAACTTACCAAACTCCAGTCTCCAATATTATAAACTGCAAAAGCCACCACCCGAAATATTATAAAAGCCTACACTTGTGCTTTAAAGGGCAACTCCGCTTCATTTTTAATATTTAAAAAACTATGTAGCCCTCCTCAGTATCATATAGGAAGACCCCACGTCAAATATTATGATCTAATTCCGTTTATATATTTAATAAACTGGCCAGCAAACCTTCAAGCGAGCCAAGTTGCCGAAATCTGCCAACTCTAGCGTGCGGCGCGAGGCCAACGTTGAACCACTACGTCAGAGGCATGTGTATGTCATTCTCACGTTTTGCTTGTTTTTACTTCTCAGAGCGAAATTGAACGGTGACGTCATGAGTTTCTCCTCCCGGTGTTGGCTGACCGGGCGTCTACGTGATCACCGTAACACGGATGCGCTAGTTTGCGCTGCCCTGCGCGCTTATCGGTCTGTTTCTCCGCTCCCCTTCTCTTTCGTCTTCTCCCCTTCCCCCTCTCCCCAGGGCCATCACCGTCCACGCCACGCAAAGCAACCTGCCCGCGTCCAATAAAAAAAAAAAAAAAGAACACCTTCTTGCGTTGTGTGTCCTGTTTCTCGCTCCCTCCCGAACATCACAAGACCACGTGGTTCGACGGGGTGTGGCCATGACTCTGACGACCCGAGATCGATGTTGCCTGACGCAACCGAAGTTTCGGTTTCGGTATCTGCTGATGTTTAAATTAGGATTACACAAATAATATTCCACATTTCGCGATTCCAAAGACGTAGAGTTGTTTGGTAGTGCTTTGTGAATGTGAATCACAGGAAGCCTAAATTTTTCGGAATTGAGCGGCGTTGCCCTTTAATGGTGACACTGCTTTTTAGCGGCATAGGAACCAGAGTTACATCAAAGTTTGCTGCTCTTTTAATGGACGACTGCTGCAAGGAAACTACCGTGACTACCATATTTATACAAATATATACAGACGCGTGTTTTTTTCCATCTCTTTTTGTTTTTTTGTTTGTTTTTTTTAGATTAGATTATTTTACAATTAGAAAAAAGAAGTTGAACCTGTACTAATCCTGAGCATAATTTGCGAGCCTATCGCACTAAGGAAGGCGCTCCCCCAGGACAGTCGCCGCTCCTAGCACCCCGGTACAAAGAGGTGAAGCTCGACGCGCACACGCTGATAAGAGGCGGCGAAGGTTGACCCGAACGGCCCAAGTGGCACGGTACTCTTTAGTCAAACAGCACAGGCATGAGGCAGACATGATAATCAAGCGATCTGATCGGGAGTACAAGACCTTGGTTCTGCTTTATGACAGTAGCAGCAATTGGAAATCCTACTATTTTGCAAAGTTTTCTCAGGACCCTTAGTTCCCGACATCGACTGGAAATTTAGACAATGTCAGTGAACAAGCAGCCAGTTCATCAACGGCTCTGACCGGTTGATTCGCAGCATCAAAGTCAGACATCATGGCAGTTGTCATCTCCTTGAATGTGTTCTTAATCGGCTAAACCAACCAAGGGCAGCGAATGTCCCGTGACTTGTGCTTGTAGCATGAGTGTTTGTGTATGTAGGTGTTCGAGTCTTCAACTGGTGCTCCGACCGAAGACGAAACAAACCATACGGTAAGCAGAGACGCTATAAAAATCATATTTCTAAAATTTTTCTTTCCTTCTACTTTTATGAATATTAGGGTCGACCAATAATAAACCATTTATTCCTTCGCCGTAAGCCGCTATTAGCGCAAGTTTGGCGCAATTCTTAGCAAAAGTGCCATTTTTGCAAAAGATGTAGCTGATTTTCGGTCATGGCGCAATTTCGCGCAAATGGCACAGCACTTCTATCACTGCATTAGACTTAGAAGAATGAAAACCGTCCGGATTACTAACCTGCAGGGTTCGATGAAAACATTTGACAATGTGCATCGTGTGCGTGATTCCATGCCCTTTGACGATCCACGGTGAAAAGGCCAGCCTTCTGGACCAATGCGATGATGTGGGCGTCGATGTGGCTGTTCCGGAATGACCGAGGTGAAGCTGGTTGACGACGGAAAAGGTGATTGCCTCGGTTGCCTGGTGCTTGTCTTCGTTTTTGGTACCGGAAACGTCGATGGAAGGAGAGATGACATCCAGGTTGATAGGATCCTTTGTTCCAGGCAGGTTGGCTCCCATGAAGCCAGGCCGGAGATCGAAGGCCGTCCCGCTAAAAAACTGCAGAGTTAGAAGAAAAACGCTGACAATGTGCATCGCGTGACTGCTTTCATGCCCTCTCTTGACTAGGCCCTTCCTGTGTTTCGACTCCGAGTGGAACAGGTTTTTTGACATATATTTTTTTCATTAGAAACAAGTTCAATGTCCATCTGTTTTTGGAAACTTCACGTTGTGTGTGATGTTTTTGTATTTCCTAGGTTCAAAGCTCAAGCTATTGTTTCTTTAATCACATTTACTCAGAGGTTTGTAGGTTGCTTCTTTTTGTTTGCAGTCTTTGAGGATCTTGGGAGTTGTGTATAGTAGAAGGCTGCAAGGTCTGGGAATTAATTCCCTTTGGAGAGTGGTTGTAAGCGGAACAACAACTTTTTGGAAAGACTGTCTTCATGTCTCCCTCTTTTGGGTTGCCTATTCATTTTTCAGTCCATTACAACTCAACTGTGTTTGAGACTTGTGTGTTTTGTTTGCATCTTCCTTCAAAAATTCCTAGTATAGGGTAAATTCACCTTGTTTAACCTGAGCCAGCTTGCACCCTCGTTTTTTTTGTTCGTTAAAGGAACACTAACACCCGCCAAAAATGTTTATTTTTAATTTTTTGCCAGACAATTCAATATGGTGTCAGGAGACTGCTCATTAAATATTTTGCCACAGAGCCACATATATTTTCAATAGAGTTAAAAAACTCAACTGCTTGAAACCAAAAAACAAGCACGGAGGCTCAGTGATGTGATTGGTTGTAGTCAATTTGGAGCAGCTATTGGAGCAGCGAAAAGTTCATTTTGGAGAAGCAAAAAGAGCTTGTGGAGCATAACCGTGCACTACAAACGTAAGGAGGAGAGTGGCAAATAGTAGGAGGAGAACAAACACTAGCTGTTTAGTTGTGTGTGGAAGCACGAGACACGGTAACAAGACGACGACCGATGAAGGACAGCGCAAACTGCCGTAAATGATTATTTTAGGTATGAAATCCCACTGAACAAATGTTAAAATCCACAAGACTTATTGCGAAACTTCCGAGTGCTGTCAGTGGTTGGTGCGAAATCAAATCGAATAGAATGTTACTTCAACGATTATCGAAAGTCCTGAAAGCCCGCATGAGCCTACCCTAAACGATCTGGCCCAGTAGCAAGGCCTACAGCTGTTATATTTTTAGCAGTGTGTCGAACCGAAAAAAATACGGGTTCGGTTACGGTTCAGGTTCAGGTAAATTTATTTTGTTCCGGTTCAGTTCCGGTTCGATTATTTCGATCCGTGAACCGGTTCGCGAACCGGTTCGGGGCGCTGAACCGATTCCCGAACCGGTTCGGAAATTATAAACGACAAATTGCAACATCAAAATAAATTACAAATAAAACATCAGAAATCAGCACATACGAAACGGGATACATCGTAGTGTAAGGCTCAGGGATTTCTATCAGGAATGGTTTCTTTATGTGCACTCAAAGGTTACCTCACCGACATTTACGCATTCGGACTTCATCTAATTGGGTCCGACGCAGTAGCTGTAAAATCCGCGACCTCCTTACAAACCCACTTACAAGTAGAACTCGCTAACTATCCCGCCACCTCGGCGTGTAAGCAATTGAAGGAACAGTGGGGAGAAAATACAACTTTCTTTATTTGAACTAGCCTTCGGCAACTCAAATTAGACCCTTAAAAAAGTTTTCATTAAACAAGATACGGAATATGAAAAACACCTCACCGAACGCAACGCCAGAAGGACGTAATAGGATAAATATTAAAATAGAAGAGTTCGCTGTCTCACAAATATGTTAGCTTCTAAGTGCCTATACGAAACCGGATGCATTATTATCAAACTCCACAGCCTTTTCTTTTCTCATTCCGATGGAAGCAAGCTTCAAGAACTCGCGCGTTCTAGAAACGTGTTATGAAATGAGCACACAGCAGCATTTACGATTTACGAAATTGTAGGAAAATAAAATCCCGTGACGCAATTTTTTTCTTTTTCTTTTGCACAGCATTCCAATTTTCTTTCTTCCGTGCAAGCCGCGACCAGCGCAATACTGGTTCCTATGTCAAGATTCATGGATGCAGCGTTTGTCAAGATTCATGTATGCAGCGTTTATATTCCTAAGACTGAGTGGAGAAGAAAAATATGTAAGCGAGGTGTGTGTCAGTTGACGGCACTTAAAAAACAAATGGCATTGATAGCACATTCATTGTCAACAGCGCGTGGCCGAACCGTTTTGACATGAGCCGGTAAACGTTATTTTTTTTTTCGGTTCAGTTCCGGTTCGGGTTCATCGCGATAACAATATAACGGTTCGGCTTCGGGTTCAGTTCCGGAAAAATACCGGTTCGGTTCGGTTCGGTTCCGGTTCGACACCCTGATTTTTAGTATTATTTAAGTGAACTTAAGTTATGGTGCAATGTTGGTGCAAATTCCTCACATTTGGGTCAAATATAGCAGGGTGTAGCAGGGTAAGAGCTTTGGCACAGTTTGGCGCAAATGGCACAGCGATCACATCACTGGAAGCTCATGGCCCGAAATCACCATTTGTCCTGCGATTGTTTTGCACTTATAACCCTTCCGCTTGACGTTCAATTGACCGGTTCCACGAACAACAGTTCCAAAGTAGCGGCCTCACATCCGTCGCAATGTTGGTCCGTTCTGCGCTGCCATCGCATCGTCCAGCCCACGGTACGTTGCTATATTGAAAATGGTGTGTACATTTCCCTCCTGTAATCTGTGAAGCATTTTTTTTTTTTTCGTTCAACGTTTTTGCAGCTTTCTGGAGGCCACAAAAATCCAGCTCATATTACAGCAGAGCTGTTGAGCGCTAGTATCCCCAGTTTCAAGTCCATGGACAAACAAATCTCGACACAACCCTCTGGACAGCTACTGCCATCTATGTGCGATGACGGGCAACCAGACAACCTGCTTGCCGATTGTCTGGTTGCCGCCGTTGCTCATAGATGGCGGCACATACTACAGCTCCGCTGCTTTTCCTTGTTCACCACAATGGAAAATCGGAGAGTTTTCTCCTTTTTTTATATTTAATGTGTGCTTTAGATGATGTATGGATTTGAATATATTTGGTACACATAGTTTGAACCTAACATTACTATAGCAGGGATGGAACTGGGCAAAGCAGCTTTGGAGCAATCTTGGGAGCAGAAAAACTACAGTTTGGAGCAGGCTGGGGGCAGCAAAAACGAGGTCCTGGAGCAAATTGGGAGCAGCATACGAGTTCCAAGAATGTTGAAATAGAGGCTAAATGTCACCTGGTTTTCAAAGCTCAAGGAAATATGGCATGTCGATAACTCAATGTGAACTAAACAGTACTTTCAATTACCATATTATTTTAAAAACATTTTTCACAAAATTACATGAAAATTAGACAAATCATATAAAGCAAAACTGCACAACAGTGTCACACATGATGGAACCGACTTACAAAGAGGTGAATGTAAAGAAACAATAAGAAATAGCCTTCACAGTGATGTGATTGGCCTAAGCCGCTTTGGGTTACCTTTCGGAGCAGCCAAAACAGTGCTTTGGAGTAGAAAAAGTGGCCTTTGGAGTAGCCAAAACAGTGTTTTGGAGCAGCATAAGTGGCTTTTAAAGCAGATATTCTAACAAAAATAAAAATATTTGTTTGAAATGCTGGACACGCAAAGGGAACCTTGCTCGCCGAAATAAACCAATTATGGTCAAGTTCGGCCACCTGGGAGTCTTTCATGGTGTAACTGAAATGCCAATGACATGACACATTTCTTTTTGCTTTTCGGAACATTCTGCAAGGCTGGAGCAAGCTTTGCTTTAGCTTAGGGTAGTAATGAATGTCCACTTTCAATGTCTCCAAAGAGACATTGCGACATCCCAGAAGTGTACAGTGCTGTAGGCGACGCCAAGCAATTCCGAAAAACCGCTTGCCACCGTTTTACTGATTGCCGACGTGCCAGATTTTCGTCAAAAGTAATCAAATGTAAAACATTGAATTGCAAGCGTCCCGGCTGGTGCCTCTGTCGTGCAATTATGTTCGCATCGTTGGTTAGCAAGCACGTGAGGGCAACTCCGGCAGGCTTGCAGGTCACGTGCGTCGTCGCGCGAGCGAAACGGCTGTTCGATCGAAGCCGAAACCATGCCTCTCTGTTCCGTTGCCAACTGGTAGCCAAAAGTCTATGCAAAATTTAACTGCCCAGCATGCGACAAAAAAAAAGAGTCCAGCGCCGCGCGCTTCCCAGGCCGGCAGGCGAGGTACGAGCTAAACACAGAAAAAAAGAACCTGAGCGCATCGATGCAAGACGTCGCGAGCCAGGGTCCCTTTGTGCAACGACTGAACTCGAGACAAACAAGCGCGCTCTGCGGGTTCAGCGTGCAGACATTCCCTTCTTTGCTTCAGCTCACTTCAACTTTTCTTCGCGACACATTTTTCACGTACCGGGGTCCCTCTCGAAAGAAAGCCCACCAAGAGAAACCTAGGTAATCAATAATTCGACACAGCAGTCTTTGAGTTAGAGAGGGATTTTTGTGGCAGCGTATGTTTTAAACAAGAATATGAATGTTGATGAACATGCGGCGGTCCTCGTGTTTCAGTTTAGGAAGCTCCATATCTGCAATGTCGTGTGGCCGCTGATTTCAGCAGCAAGAGCTTCAGCTCAAAAAGTGACTCCCGCCGCTCCGAAACATAGTTTCGTTTCACAGCGTCACGTCATGGCTGGTACCCAGTACGCTAGGGTCGCAGCACACACACACGCCGGCATCTATCATTTAAAAAAAAAAAAAAAAAAAAAAACTCGAGACGAGATTTACGCTTACGAGACGACGAGAGCGTGACAGAAGAGACGGCATGGCGGAAAAAAGCATGGAAAAAACCATGGACGATTGATGTAGGGTATTTTGTGTCGGGCAGAGCCGTTTATTGAGAGTTTGGCCATACATTGGTTTGAATAGGCGAGCATCTCAGGGCCAACCACAGGCCGCGAAACAGCCCCTAGCGGTGGTCGTGTGCTCTAAATATGTGATGCGACTAATTTGAGCCGTTTTAGCATCGCTAGAGTGAAAAGGTTTAGCTCTCGGTTACTGAAAACTTTGTGCATGTGAGGTTTCAGTCACGCCAATATTCAAGTGTAGAATAAACGAACGTGCACTCCAAACCAGGACCGACTTGCTAGAAACAGCGTCTCAGCTGAGACGGGGAAAGAAAGCACTGCCAAAGCCAGCGCACGAGCAGAGCGGGACTCCGCGTCTCAAGACGCTCGCGCGCCCCACCCTTTGAACTGTTTTCTTTCAGCCAGTCTCAGGACGCTGTTCTACCAAGCCGGCCCAGAGCAAACAAACATCAGCAGAGCAGACAAAGGCATGGGCACGAGCGCGTGGCTTTGGAAAGTGCCTCCTATGCAGGAGTTCTTGTACAAACAAAAGCGTTTTGCTGAGCCATGCTTACGCGCCTGTGCCTTTGTCTTCACTGCCGACATTTGTGAGATGGAATAGAGAGGTCGAGATTGAACGCTTCTATTTCACGCTTTAAATGTCGTTTGCAATATTGTGACGTTGCGGTCTCCTGATTGGTCGACGCTGTGTCACAAATTTAGTTTACGCTCTAAGCGTGGGGGGAATATTCAGCGCTGGCGGCGGCCTTTGCTCGGCCTATTGGCCAAACTCTCCCAATACACGGCTCTTGTGTCGGGCGGCCGTTTGTGCCACCTAGCTCATGCATGCTCAGTTACGGTACTTAGTTTAAATTCGGTTTTGAAAGGCGTCCAAAATTGGCCCTTTGGCGAAGGCTTGGCACAGATTACTCATATTTTGGCAAAATGTAGCAGGATGTAGCAGGGTTAGCCCCTTGGTGCAATTGGCGCAGCAATCACATCACTGCCTTCAGCTCGTACCTTGTTCCGTCATTGCTCACTTGCCTTTGTTACGTTCCCAAGTTTTCTGCGCGGGGCCTCGGGGGCAGGCCAACATGGGCTGTGGGCTTGCAATACACCTTTCCATAAAAATGTATTAGAGTGCGTTCATTGCTGTGTTTGTGTGTTATTCACACGCAGTTTCTGGCTGGCTGCAATTGCAATCAAGTGCTGGCTGGACTGCGATTTTGCACGTGTGGACTGTGACTTTTGTAAAACGGTGGAAACATCTATAGTCACGCAAGTACAGCCAAGAGGGAGGTGCGCCAACTTAAATAGATTTGAGTGTAGCGCAATATGGCGATGCTGTTTGCTCCGCTATTCCGATGAAGTGACTCTCGCACTCCAGAAAAGCACACAGTAACGGCAGCAGACACAGCCGATGCTACAAGCGCCAGCATGTGGCCTTGAACAGTGCTTGCACTGCGCGAGCGTGCACTCTTGGCAGGGACGCTGAATTCCGGAGTTCTCCCTTGTAGCATCATCTGCGTATGGACTTAATGAAGCAGGGCGACAGCGAATGGCTTCAAAGTGGTCTGGTAGCAGAAGCATCGCAATGAGAATGCTATAACAACTGTTTTAAGCTGAAACAAAGTATAACCATGGCAGCGACCTTCGGATACAGAGCTTCGGATTCATTAACGTTCCCTTTGGGCCGGGATGTCCGATGTCAGTGTTGCCAACAAAAACTGCGAGACGGCTGATTTCGACGAGGCTCGTTTATAATTTCAGTTTTGGCGCACCTTACCGCAATTTAGTTCTTATTTATACTTTTGTATCAGTGTGGTACACGAAACATCATTAGGTGCACTATGGTGCAATTGGCGCAGCAGTCCCATCCCTGCTATAGAAAAAAATGTAAGCATGACAGAAACCGGCCAATTCTCGACCAAATGTTTTTGGAGAGAAGGAAAACGAATTTCATTCCGCAAGTTCTGTTCTGCGTAGTTGGACTCTTGCATATCATGCTCAAATAGAAACCTCGGCGAGCATAATTACCTTGTTGGTGTACCTTGAATATATTACTGTACGAGTTACATTTCTAGGAACAAGCATTAACAGATTGTTTGTGATTAAACAGGGTATCTAGAAAATTATTATTTTGAAATTCCCTGACTTTTCCAGGTTTTGCCTGACAATTAAAGCTCAAATTCCCTGACCACTGTAGAGGTGGTTAAATATATAAGACATTTACAACACAAGGCATTGAGCACTGTGAGGATCATTTTGCACGGGCCTAATCCAACATGCATATTCCGAAATATTCGGGTTAGTCCAGTCAGGATTAAATGAGCACTTTCCTGCCGCCGACATCGTCAGTGAAGAGGCCACTTCCGGAAACATGATGAAAACATGACGCTCAACCACACTAGTCAATAACCGAATGGCATCATGGCCGCCAGATGCACACTTTCGGAGACTTTCGGATACTTTCGGCTTGGATTGGATGGGGTCTGCGGCTTTTCCATTTGTTACTATATCTAGTACAAGGAGGCTCTAACTGGATCTAGCCTAGTGCCGCACCCTCAATCCAATCCAATAAAAAAAAACTGGATTTGTTGGCTGTTCCCTTTGCATATGGTTCCACACTCTAGATCGGGTGAGCAGAGCCCGCGCTTCGCTCTAAGCATAATTTATTGCCCCTTTTCCTGCCCCTAAGTCCCCAAGTCTTTGCTCAGGGCACTCAATGGCGTTTCCAGCTCATTTTCCCTGACTGGGCTCGCTTTTTGACAATATCCCTGACAATTCTCCGACTTTTTCCGGTAATTAAAATTTCCCTGACAATTACCGGTTTTCCCCGTTGCTAGACACCCTGTTAAATTGCAAGCACAGTTATTTCATGAGAATGCATGAGAGCACACTTTTGTTGACTAGTGTTGATGTTGACTAAATGATAGACCATTACCTAAAAAAAGATAAACAGTGCAAAGGACACAAGAGAGTAGCAGTAGTAGTTAGTGGTGAGGGTAGCGGAAAGCCGGAACAACACACAAGAGAGGAGATGAATACAACACAGTGCTATGGTGCGTTCACCTCCACCTCTTTGTCCATATTTGCATTCTTTGTTTCTAATACATTTGTTAATAATTTCTTGTTTGGAATTATCTGTGCTAGGGGTTCACTGTAGTGACTCACCTGCCATGGCATTCACTTTAGGCGCAGTTCTCCCTTCTTCAAGGCGCCATCCTCGAAGAAGTGCAGGGTTTTGTCCCTTTCACACTCTTGTGATGTAGTTACCCAGGTTCCTATAAGTTGCAAGCTGCCAGACAAACAAGGTGAGTCAGGCAAGCCAGTCCTGCAGCGAATTTCAATGTAACACTTTTAGATGTGAACACCCATGCACCTGAAAAAGGACAAAACAAAGAGTAAAGCAAATGGTTTGCCCTTTCTAAATGCATCCTTTCATTTTGCTGGGAACACATGTACAAGTCACATGCCAGTGTACATCCAGTGGCATGGCTTCATTTTAAAATGAGCACTTTCTTATATAACTTCAGCCACTGAATATAATGGGTCAGACGTAAAAAGTTGCTATGAAATAAGCTGCATGTTTACTCCAGATTTCCTGATATCATACAGAAACAGTAATGCAGGTTGGGACTGTGCATTGATTGCAAGGTTGCAACTGATTAGAAGTGGACGTTTATTCAAATAATTGATCAGTTATTGAGTCTGATTTGCAGCTTTATAAAATAAATAACAGAATTCAAAATTGTTAATATTGCATTACAAGCACGTAGCCAGGGGGGAGGCCCAGGGGCCCGGGCCCCCCTCGAATTCTTCCATTTTGCTGGGACCTCCTCTGCCCCCTCTCCCTCATACAGCATTTTGTCATGGTTGGGCCCCCCCGAAACAAAATCCTGGCTACGTGCCTGTTACATTATACATCTTGGGAATGTAAGTGCTGAGATTCCCATATCCTATGCAACTCCCATATGGGATTCCCATAGGATATGAGAATCCCATATGATATGGATGTGGGATTCCCATATTTTATGAAGAACCAAACATAATAATGAAGCCATTTTCATCTAGTGGTGCGTTTGGCACACTATCTAATGCCATAGGTTGATGTGACAGAAGATGACATCAAGTTGCCAGCTACTAGATATTATTGAGGTAATTGGAAAGCGAGATTTGGCATGCAACGGAAATAAGGTATTATCCTCCAACAGGGAGCACAGAGGCAAATATGGTATAGCCCTTAGACAAGGATGCTGTACAAAGTTACTCCCCGAAATGGTCTGCGAGCTCCCTTTAAGAAATTAATGATAACTCCTGCTGAAATAATAAGGCAACCTCCCATCAACACAAATGACGTCAAGGCAGGTTTCCTCTCAAAATTGTTATTGTACGACTGCCACAACGCATGAACATCAACACAGTAGTCAACATATGATGTCATTTCACTGAACTCACATTACGATGCTTGCCGTTCATGTCAGCCTCGGCCTGGTCAGGGCTACACCTAGCACAAATATTCAGACTGCACTGTAGTTTATATCATCGAGACAAACACACCATATAATAGGTAAAACAACTCTGAAACTAGGACTTTTAACGAGGAGGATGGTGCAATAGCTTATTGTACAGGATGTCTGCAAGAAAACCTAAACTTGTTTTTCGCACCGCAAAAAAAGACGCCATCGCGGAGAGCTCAAACTCCATCAGAACGTAGCCCCAGCCGTTCGAGCAAAGTGCCCAAGTTTCAACAATTACCCTTACCGGAATAAAAAGTTAGAAGTGAAATACCGTTGTCTATGACAGGACACTGTTTGTGTGAAGCAGCAAACAGAACGCTGCTGTTTGCGACCGCATCTCACAAATGGTGCCCCCATCAGCCAAGGGTTTTTGGTTAGTTTTGGATACAGTCTGGGCAGTTTGCGGCACAGTACCGTCGCATCGTTCCTCAAATCTCAGTTTGCATACAATTCCAGGTCGCATCCGTTGTGCGGACTACCCTGCTGCCTACGTGGGGAAAAGAAAGAACTTCTCGGAACGCTTCCGCCACCACAAATACGGCGTGAAGAAGAATGACATCCAAGCCAGTGACCTCGCTGAACATGCAACTAATGAGGGTCACAGTGTGTCCTTCGACAAAAGCGAGATCCTGAGCACGGAACGACACTGGCGTAAACGTCTGCATCTAGAATCCTCGTAGATCCAAACAACAAAAGATGACATCAACAAGTCGTCGAACACTCTCCCAAGTGTCTATGTGTCGGGGTTTTGTCGCTTCGTAGGAAAACCAGGACGCAGCAATCGCAACCGGCCTACACAAGCGTCTCCCTCCTCCGTCCAAACCACAGTCACTCGTGACAAAGGGACCGAGCTGGTCCCGAAACGTCAGGAATTTTGTTTTTATTAAACTTTGGTAAGAGTAAAATTTTAGTCAGTCTATTATTTTCCTAACCAGACAGATTTCTGTAAAAGATGTTTACGTTCAAGGGTATTCAAATAAATAAACTGTACACTTGATGGGAAGGTGTAAGTCTGTTCCCTAGACGGTTGCCAGATCAGACCTAGGCAGGGCCCTACCTGAATCGAAACCAGGGCTTCGACGTGGCCTCCTGGACGCCAAGTGCAGAGGCCAAGCCTGGTCCCGTAATCTCCGAATGCCACAGCTCGCATCTCATCCGTGATGAGAGCGGACGCTGTCTCGCTGCGCTGGTTTAAGGCGTCCACTATGGAGATGTGGCCCTTGTACACCTCGGACTCCACAAACCTCCAAACAGAAAAGTCACATATTGTGAGGTCTGGCAATCGGGGCAACCACGGCATGTTCAGCGGTCCCCGGCCCATCCAGCGCCCTGGGAAGATGCTATCAGCCAGTGCCTTACACTTGTCGCCCAGTGGGGTGGCGCCCCATCTTGCATTAAAAATGCATACGTCCTGCTGCATGTGCAAGGCTTCGAACTCGGGAAGAAACTCGTCCTGCATCATTTTCAGGTAGGTGCCTCCAGAGACGTTGTCACTGAAGAAAAAGGGGCCAACGACGCCTTCTCTCCAGATTCCGCAACACACTGTTACTTTCGGCGACTGCAAAGCCCTCTCAAGCGTCCAGTGCAGATTCGTCGAACTCCGATAGCGGCAGTTCTGGGTATTGACCTGCCCATCCAGATGAAATGTCGCCTCATCACTAAACAGCAAAAACTGCACATATGATGGATCTTGTGCAATCCTGAGGAGCTCATGCCGGCAAAAGTAGTGCTGCATCTCGTAGTTACCGGGCGACAACTCATGAATCAGGCCAAGCTTGTACGGGCACATCTCGTGGGTAGCTTTGCGCACGGCGTGCTTGGATACACCGAAAAAATGTGCGGCTCTTCGCAAAGACGAATGGGGATCTTCCTCGAAGGCACCGACGATAACGAAGGAAAACTCCCACTTTCCTTTTTAGGAGGAACATGGAAGATGTGCGCTTTGTTTTTGATGCTACTTTCTTCTGCGAAGCGCCGGGCCCACGTCTAGATCACTGACTTAGAAGGCGGTCGTAAGCCGAACTCCAAGACCTTGCACTTGACCCTTTAAAAGCCCCCCAGTTCAGCGTACCACCGTACGAACTGACTCCGTTGTTTGCACGTTAACTGTCGCATAAGGAACATAAGTTGGTAATAAAACTGAACGTTAACAATCAATGAAGGTGCACATAGATGTCTGTCGGCATTCTTTGGTATTTATTGGGATGCCTTTTCATAAAAAAAAACAAAGTGACTACAATTTTAGATTCTTTATTTAGTTTTGTTTCCTTTTTTTTTATTAAGGACTGACAAAGTTTGGGACAGGGATGCAATACTTTTGTCAGGTGTTTTCAACTTTACCGCCAGTCGTTCCGGTTAGACAAGCGAGGGAGCGCAGGATGTCTCCAGGGCAAGTGGTGCCATCTCTGAGATGCGGCCGGAAACAGCGGCATATCGTCTGTTACTTCTCACGGACGGCGTCCTCTCACAGATGAAAACAGTTTTTTACTTCTAACTTTTATTCCGGTAATGGTAAGTGTTGAAACTTTGGTATCTTGCTCAAACGACTGGGGCTATGTTCTGACAGAGTTTGAGCTCTCCTCAATGTATAGTTTACTTTTGCGGTACGGAAACAGAGCTCGGTTTTCTCACGGACATGCTGTACTTCTCTGCTGCTGCCTGCCAGGTAGAATGATGCAACATACAGTTTAACTAGACATAGTTATTGATTGGCTGTCATTGTTGCAGCCTGTGACAACATACCATATAGACCGACACGTGGGCTTGACGTCATGGAGCTGCAGCAGCGCTGCCATCGCGCCAGACCTTAGCCGGAGCCGGGTGGTGTGGACAGAAGGCCACATGTTTTGCAAGGGTGTCATAGCATTTCAGCAAGCCGCAAAGTTGTGTAGTCATTATTTGCACCAAAGGTACAGAAAAAGTAGCAAAGTGAGTTTCCACAAGTTCCCGGCGGACTCTGAAAGGCGCAGAAGGCGGATAATAACTGTGGATTGAAAAGAACGGTCGCCTCACACAAACGACCGTTTGTGCGGCAAGTACTTTCTTAAAGGCAAGTATGGCTTCCATTTCAATCTCCGTCCCAAGGTTGCTTAGGTGCGAGGAAACCGTCATCTGATCGAGACCATCCAAATTTTTTTTCCCACGGTGTTCGCGCACAAAGCAACGGCCAAGTGCTCATCAATGGCTCGCTACGCCCGTGCTACCAAGTGGGAGGAGATTGGCGACAGAACGGACAAAGCGTTACCGCTTGTCGTGCCTTGTGGTCATGAGGGTAGGAAAACCAGCATATTTTGACTTGAGGGCGCTGTGTGTAATTATTCAATTAATAAAAACACTTCAGGAGACCCACAGTCTGCTGATCCCACTGGGCGAAAAATCTAAATAAACGACGATGTGAGCCGTCGACGTCGGTGGTAGCAACCTCATGTCGGAAGTCCAGTTTACGGCGTATGGATCGTCAAAGGCAACGCCATCCACGCACAATTTGTCTCGCTGCCGCTCAGGCTCCGGTAGCGACTTTAATAGTCGGTCATAACATAAAACATACGTTGGCAGGAAATACGATGCACAATTGAAGCTATAACCACCTGTACAAAGTCAACAACACGCGCACGCGACAGAATGCAATGGTGAAAACACGGAGAGCCTGGCCGCTTCTGCCCACATAGCTTCTGGCATGCGCGGCCTTCCGGCAGTGTTGGTAAGCACAGCTGCACAGCATGTCGGTCTCTACTTTGTGCCACTTATTGCACTTGACCACCCCGAGGTGGTGACACCACAAAGTTTTGTGGCGCTGATGCTGTCCCACTATAACAACCAACACCCCTAACATATGCCGACAAACAATCGGTGTCGGACAGGTTCTCGTTTGTCGTTGGACTTGAAGCGCCGGCAAGCAGTCCCACCCAGGAACACCTCTCAGAGAAAAACTTATCCTACTCACCTGCTTGTACCCTTTGTTGCCCCTCTTCCCACCCTTCTACCCCTCCTCTCATGGCTTGCTCTGCCGCTCAACCTTCAAAAAAGGCCTTGGCGGCCACTGATCGTTCCCGCAGTTCCCATCCCTCGATTGTTCGTAGTGGTCGTGGCTTGCTTGTTAGTGTTCGTGTTGCGAAAGGGAATTTGCAACGACTGGATTTGCTGGCGAAAACCTGGTGCACGAAGTGGTGCTTCAAGACGCCTTGCATCAGGATGAATACACCGATGTTTGAGGACTGACCAAAGAC